AGCCTTCCTCGGGATAGCTCTGCCAAGAGGGATTTGTTTGCTGGAGGGAGTGACAAATGAAGAGGGGGGAGGAAGGAGTGGTGAAGGCAGAGAGCTCACCAGCCACTGGGCCAAGCTCTTAAGGCTACAGAGCCTCTGAGGACTTAAAACACCTCCGATGGCCAGGCTCTCTGATCCCCAAACACAGCGGCCACGTGAGAGGCCCCCAGGGCTGCTTTAAAAACAGCTGTGACCGCCCGGCCAGTGTGGCTCAGTGGTTGAATTTTGACCTATGAACCAGGAGATCACAGTTTGATTCCCAGCCAGGGCACATTGCAAACTCAATCCCCAGTGGCGGCAGGGGGGCATGCAGGAGGCAGCGGATCAGTGATTCTCATCATTGATGTTTCTCTCTCTCTCTCTCTCTCTCTCTCTCTCTCTCTCTCTCTCTCTCTCTCTCTGAAATCAATGAAAAATGTATTTGGCTCAGTAGATAGAGCGTCAGCCTGCAGACTGAAAGTTCCCAGGTTCGATTCCGGTCAAAGGCATGTATCATACCTTGATTGTGGGCACATCCCCAGTAGGGGGTGTGCAGGAGGCAGCTGATCCATGTTTCTCTCTCATCGATGTTTCTAACTCTCTATCCCTCTCTCTTCCTCTCTGTAAAAAAATCAATAAAATCTATTAAAAACAAAATAAAACAAAACAAAACACGTGTGACCAATGTTGTCCAAAGAAGAATTCTGGATAGTTGTGATTTAAAGGATTAAAAGTCTTGCCCTCATGGTTCTGTTTAATACCAGAAACATCTACATTTTTGGAATGTCCCTATAATCACTCATCTGGGTTTTAAGGCAGCTACATCCAGGCCTTGATATAAGAAGGAAGAGAGAGAGAGAGAGAGAGAGAGAGAGAGAGAGAGAGAGAGAGAGAGAGAGAGAGAAACAATAATACTAATGAATATAATTTATCATACACTGTGATACTGTCTGTGATACTGTGATCTATTATAAGAAACATATATTTGGTCTTTGTCCCATTCTGGGCACATATAGTAGTTGATCCTCTTTATCCACAGGGGATATGTTCCAAGACCCTAGCAGATGCCTGAAAACACAGGTAGTACCCCTCAATAATCTATACTACACATGCACACACACCCTTTCACTTTAAGGAAGCCCTTTATAGCTTCTCTTTGGCAAATCCAAATTGCCAGCATCACTGCTCTTATATCTGGGGCTTTATTATTTTTTCATTTTGCTTTTGGAAGATATGATGTCGTTTAAAAAGCTACCGTGTTTCCCCGAAAATAAGACATCCTCCAAAAAGAAGACCTAGCACATGGAAAGATAAGACCTCCCCTGAAAATAAGACCTAGCACAACTTTGGGAGAAAAAAATTAATATAAGACACTGTCTTATTTTCGGGGAAACAGGGTAGTACTGTCAGACCCAAAGTTGCTCATCTGAAAGTAATTCCAGTTGAGTAATTCAATGATTAAAACGTTTTAGAGCTTTTCCCAGGGCGTCAAAACTCTTCAGGTGTTTTATAAATTCCTTAATTTTCTCTTCTTTCCTTCATTCTCAGAATTTGTCTATGCTTCTTTTATCTTCTAAACATTCTGGGGTTTTATAAAAGGGCTCTGCATATTATCGATAGTTATGTTAAGCTCTATTAAAGAGCTGGACATAATGTCAAGAAGAAAACTATTCAGGGCAGAATTCCAGAAAACACAGACCCAAATGACTTCATTCCTAGCTGAATTCTCATATGGCTCTTCAGCCGAGGAATTAGGGTGTGTGGGGTAAACCTCTTTGGATGCTGACCTCACTTTGTGCATCACAAAGCAACTCCCAGTGTTTAGAAAGCACCTCAGACAGCTATATTTTAGAATAAATCCCTTCAAGCGTTTTAGAAATAGAGATAGACCTCACCAATTACAGTCTCTCCAGTCAACTGTTCCTGTCACCCCACCCCCTACTCCCACCAGGTATAATAAAGCACATGATTTGATTCACTTACTTTAAGTACTTACACAACTTTGAATTTCATGGATTTCCAAACCATGTATTTTGAAGGTCAAGACTTGTTACTGTTTTACACATGTTTTGCCTGCCGTTCAATAGGCATTTATTTATCTTACTTTTCTAGAAGGATGCTTATTATTCTTGTATTTCCATAGAGTATCAAATCTTGCTTCATTATTTTTTCATGTGTCCGCTGGTTTTGGTTTATATGATCAACAGGCAAAATGTTCAACTCAATTGAATTGAGGCAACTTGTTCTGCCAAAAAGAGCAAATAACTGAACTTCTAGAAGGTCTTGGAACTCTTCATTTAATTCTGCATTTACCAAGAAGCTATGTGGTATAAGGTTCTTTGTTGGCAACAAAGTTAAAATGATAAGACTTGGTCTCCTGCCCTCAAGTTCAGAGTGTGTACTTCATGAGAGTCATGGGAAATAGAAGTGCTTCAACCAGAAGAGGGAATGAATCCTAGCCTGACACTTTTCCTCACCACAATGTGAAAGTTCAAATGAGGCAGTGGGCTGGTCTCCTGTAGGAAATTGGAGAAGCCTGCCTAGAGGGACCAGTTGCCAGGGTTCTTGTTCCAGCATTAGGAAAGCGTACAGCAATCTGGAAAAAGGAGCTGATGTGTAGATTAAGAAGGAGTCCAAGGATGAAAGATAATTTTGAAAGGCATTGGGGGTCAGAGGTGCTTCAGTTAAAGGAGCTAAAGACTACCCCTTATCTAAGGATCCCATGCTATTTATTAACACAATTTGTCTTGAGGCAAGGTGGAGATAATATACTTCAAAGAGTAGAGTTTACAAAAGCATTGTCAGGTTAGGGAATAGCCTACAGGTGTCCAGGTGTTTGGCCAACAGGAGACAATAACTTGCAGATTAAGATGCTCTGAGCTGTCTGGCAGCAAGCAATAATCCTATTCAGGTTTGGGGGAAGTGCCATTTAGCCGTTCCAACAAATAATTACATTTTGTGACTCAGCCCTTGTTGAGTCTCCAAGTTTCACCAACCTTTTGGTGAAACTCTTGTAATTATGACATGCTGAAATTGGTTTCCAGCAACCAGTATCTAAAGTGGTCTTTACGACATTAAAAATGGGTAGGACCCGGTCATGCAAAGAGGAGAAGGTTGGGAGGAAGGGCCCATTCAAGAACAAACCAGCACAAGAAGTATGAATATTAATCAATGATTTTAGATGAAAAGATTCTACGTGTTCAGCCTATTATTAGGTGATACAAGTTGGTCCAGAGAAGATAACATTAAATTGAGGCAGGAGAGACCTCTTGAGCCCATCTGAGCAGACTTAACCCCAAAACCAAAACCAAAGGTCTTGGGAATGCGTTGGTCTTTCCGTAATGATAATATGATTTCTTAAAAATAAGCAGGACGAGCTATAATGCAGTGTTGTTGTTTTTTAAGTGACCTAAATGTCAGGTCATAGTCACTCTGGTCAATAACACACAAGCAAAAATCTCTATAGAAGCTGCTGAGGGTGTTAAGACTATGCCTTAGGTGGGGAATCATTTGTGAAGTAAATATGCTTTTGGTGTTTCTGGATTTTGTTCTCTCTGGTTTGTCTTTTAATGTGTGGTGATCCAGGAGAGAACCTCACCCATCACGAGACTCCCAATGGCCTCATGTGGAAAACAACAAAACGAAACACAGGCAAAGATCTTGAAGCACAGAATACAAGGAAGAAATACTGAAACAGAGTTTGAATATTTTCTTTGGGTTACCTTTTTTTTTTTTTTTTACTTTAAGAACAGGAGCCCACAAGCAAGATTATTTATGAAAAATAAAACTCCATGGCCTGCTTCAGCCATTACTGCAAGAAAACTTTTCTTAGATATGAGTTCTTTTCAGAAAATTCTGAGAGGCTGTGTAACATCGAATGCTTTCAAGGCTCAAGTCAGGAGTCAGAAAACAGCTCTGGGATGAGAATGCTCCCAAATCTCTAAGGTTCTCATTTAATTTTTAAATTTTCTGGCATATTTGCCTTAAACCCACTCCATGGTCACAAGAGCAGTGAAATGTTATTTCGTTGTAGACCCCTCCTCTTGGGCTCACTCTACGTGGAAGGCAATTTTGATAAGCAACAGGTCACCACTGTTATCCAGTCCTTTTTTCAACAAATGCAAAGAATGAGAAAACAGAACCAAAGAGATTCGGGCAATGAAACCAACCACAGCCAACATTTATTCTTGATCTTTGTCACTACTTCATGCTTCCTTATTTTCCTCCACACATTAAATATACAATAACCAAAACTTTATTAATATACACATAAAGAAAACATGGGCAGCATGCAGGTGTAGCAGGTGGTACGTAAACCCAGCCAGTGGTTGTTTCTGCCGTGGGCCTCCATGTGGTCAGTGGAGGGCTGGTGGCATTCCAAATAGAACCTCAAATGAAGAGCAACCCAAGCCACACTGAACCACAGAAGGCGAACAACACCAAAGAGTTTCTGTTCAAACTAAGGGACAAAGTTCATCTTTTAATTTTAAATAAAACTTCACTTTGTTTTTTGTTTTTTTTTTCTCCAACAAACGTTTTTAAATTAGTGAAATACTAAAGGAGAAAGGAGGGAGACGAAGAATGGATAAGAAGCGTAAATCGAATCCAGGAAGTTCTGTGGTGGGTGACTGATAAATCACCTGATGAAGAAAAACAAAACAAAACAAAACAAAACAAAACAAAACTAACAACCTCAGACTATTTCATTATCTCATCTTTCCTTAAAGGGAAAAAACACATATATTTTGTTTTGGGATAAATAGCTAAGGCTTTTGGAGAAGGAAAAGTGTCACGAGAAAATGGAAAATATTTCTGATGTCTATAGCACACAAAATACCTAAAAGTAATAAAATATTAAAAGGCAAGAAGGCATATCTATAAAAAATGAGAGTGCGTATGTTGGATGAAAAGCAAAAAAAAACCTATGGGATTAAACGGTGGTGTTATCCAAATGGCACTTGAACAAACATTCCTTTTCAAATTCAGTTTCTCAGAGGTTTGACTTCAGAAGCCTGAGCACTTTCAACATTATCTTTGCCTTTATTCTTCTTCATTCGAATAAACACAACTGTTAAAATTATACCTGAAAGAGAAAACAGGGTCAAATGGATGGTATCTTAAAATATATTGTCACATTTATTTATAAAGTAATAAGTACCCTGGTAGAAAGAAGTGACTCACACAGCTTCATTTATTCTTGTGGTTCAACAAAATTGTTTTGTCCTGGTGAAAAGGGGACTGAAGGCCTTAACCTTCTTAAGCTTATCACTTTTCTTATTGTCAGTAACTATGCACCAAGTCCAAACCATATCTAAGCTGGTAGTTATTGCCTGGTCTCTATCAAAGAATATAGAATTTAGTGCCTGCACTACTCTGAAAATTAAGTGTCGACAGTTACACAATTATAGTAGGGACTTGAGTACCCCACTTTCATAAATGAATAGCTCATTCAGAGAGCAAATCAACAAGGAAAATTTGACCTTGAAGGACACATTAGACCACATTAACTTAATAGATACATGTTCACATATATATTTTTTAAGTGCACATGAGACATCCCCCAGGATAGAACACATGTAGATCACAAAACAAGTCTCAATAAACTTAAGAAGACTGAAATCATATCAGGCATCTTTTTGACCACAACGACATGAACTAGAAGTCTACAGGGGAGATAAAACTGGAAAAAACACACATACATACAGACTAACCAACATGCGTCTACACTACCAAATAGGAAATTAGAAATTCTCTTGAGATAAATGAAAGCTCAACTCTTTGAAATTTACGGGATGCAGCAAAAGTAGTTCTAAGAGGGAAGTTCCCAGCGATAAAGGCAGACTTAAGAAAGAAAAGAAAATCTCAAGTAAAAGTAAAATATCAAACTCTAAACCCAAAAGAACTAGGAAAGGAAGAACAAACCCAAAGCAAAGAGAAGGGAAAAAAAATAAAATAATGAAGATCAGGGCAGAAATGAAATGAAATAGGGATTTAAAGAAAAAAGTTAAAAAGAGGTGGTTCTTTGAAAAGAAACAAAATCGATAAAACGCTACCCATATTCAAAGATAAAACGAGAAACGGCCCAAATCAATCAAATCAGATGTCCAAGAGACAGGCAACGGAAACCCACAGAAATACAGAGGATCACAAGAGATTACCATGGATTATAATTACACACCGACATTGATGCTTGAAAGCCTCATATTTCCCAAGGCAACCCGACAGGCAATGAAAGGAAGAGGGTGATGCGAAACCGGTACCTCCAACCAGGAAGGTTTGACAGGGTTCATGGTGGTCTATATTCTTGGCGGTAGCCTAGGTTGCCATTTGACCAGCCACCAGAGCAGATCCTTAGGTGAGCCAATGTTTCTAAAGATCCAGAACAGAAACCCTTGAACCTGAGAGATTACACTCACCAATGACCAATAATGTGGTCAGGAGGATGGCAACCGTCGAGCCCACGGTAGGTATCCCAGGCAGATGGCCTACCGGCTGGAAACACCTCCCTTCTGCACACGTGCAGAAAGTGACTGAAAAGCAAAACAGGATTTGGTGGTTTGAGTTTCTAAGGAAACAACGGCAGAATCTCATCTCAACGGTGACGATTCTTTCCACCTCCCCATGGGAACAGACACCATCCCAGGGTGACTGCGGCAAAATACCCACCTGGTAAAGAGACGGCCCTCTCCAAGGGTGGCTGACCCCCATCATGGATGCGGATTGGGACGTTGTAAACTCTCTCCTCGAAGCGGGTGTGCTTGGTGGAGAGTCTGGCATGAGTTCCTGTCAGAATAGGCGTACAATGAACGGCAGCTTCGGTACCCAGATCAGCAGGCACCAAGCTTATATGCGAATCACAGACTGAGGGTGACTGGGAAATGGTTACGTATAAGTATGAGTGCAACTACCCAAAGTATCTCCACTCCACAGGTACCTTCCATAATGTCAAAAAGAGTTCATGCGTTTTTCAAGTCCTCAGTTTATGATTTCTCTGGAGAAACATATACTAAATGCAGTCAGTTATCATAAGCCCCAGTAGTTATGTTCATAATGTCACCATGAACACTGAATTATAAAAAAGAACTATTTGAAGAAGTTATTGCTAATTTTCCCACCCCCAAATGTAATAAAAACTAAATTACCAATTCAAGAAAATCATCAAATCTCAGGGGAAAAGGGGGGAAAAAAACTCACAACCCACAACTATGAAAAGGCACATAATAATCAAATTGCTTAAAATTAGTAATAAAGAGAAAAATCTTAAAAGCATCCAGAGTAAAAAGACACATTACATTCAAGGGAACAAAAAAAGAAAAAATGCAATCCAGAATACAGTGGAGAAATCTTTAAAGTATTAGGGGAAAAAAGGCTCATTAAGTTGAAATGAATTCTAGTCAAATGTTCTCTGGTCATTAAGGAATTAAGTTAGAATTAAGTTAGAAAGTTAAAACCATTATTAAATACCATTACACTCCCACTAGAATGGCTAGAATTAAAAAGACTGAGCATAGCAAGTATTAAGGAGAACACTGAGGACTCACACACACCGGTGTGGCTATAAAATGTTACAGACTACTTGGAAAGCAATGTGACCGTGCCTTAAAAATCTAACCGTACAGCTGCCATAGCACCCAGCATTGCACTTCTAGATATTTAACCAGGAAAATGAAAGTATATGCTCCAACAAAATACTTGTTCACAAATGCTCATAGCAGCTTCATTTGTAACAGCAAAAATTGGAAGCCACCTAAATGACAATCAATTAGTGAGTGAATAACAGATTGTGATAAGAGTCAGACCATGGAATGCTACTCTGCAATTAAAAAAAAAAAAAAAAAAAAAAGAGCCGAAACCGGTTTGGCTCAGTGGATAGAGCATCGGCCTGCAGACTGAAAGGTCCCGGGTTCGATTCCGGTCAAGGGCATGTACCTGGGTTGCGGGCACATCCCCAGTAGGGGGTGTGTAAGAGGCAGCTGGTTGATATTTCTCTCTCATCGACGTTTCTAACCCTCTATCCCTCTACCTTCCTCTCTGTAAAAAATCAATTAAAAAAAAAGATATATTGATATACACAACAGCATGGCTAAAACCCAAAATAAATATGCTCAGTGAAATTAGCCAGATGAAAAAAAAAATTACATAATGTATTACTTTATTTTGATAAAATTCTTGAAAATGCAAACTAATCTATAGTAGATAGAAAGCAGAACAGTAGTTCCCTGGTGATGGGGGAAAGGCAGAGTGGGCTGAAAATGGGGACTCTAACAGCATGTAAAACTTTTTTTTTTTTTTGGGGGGGGGGTTATGTGGAAATAGTCTTATCCTGATGGTGTTCACACATGTCAATTTTTATAAATTTTTATAAAATTTATATAAAATTGTACGCTTTAAAGGTGTGCTGCTTACTATATGTCTATAATTATCTATAATAATAAAAGCATAATATGCTAATTAGACCAGACGTCCTTCCGCATGACCTTCCGGATGGAACAAGGGCTGGAGGGAAGCCCGGGTCCCGGGTGCCAGAGGGAAGCCGGTGCCAGCAGCTGGGGGAAGGAAGGCCTGCTCTTGCACGGATTTCATGCACCGGGTCTCTAGTATTTCAAAAACGCTGTTTTTAAACATCACGATGAAACCTGTTTCTCAGCGGCCACTGGAAATTTTGCAAATGCTGCTCTGATTACTAGTATCCAACTATCCATCTCCCTATGCTACGGGGGATGGCTGTGTGGTAGCCGTCTTCTCTGCCCCCAACGTCTGGGGCTTTTCCCACCCTGGAGAGCTCCCCTCTGCCGGTTCCCAGAGCAGGCAGCTCCTCTGGGAGCCCGGCAGAAGGTCCTGTGCCCAGGGCTGCAGGCCCGTCGGTCGAGGCCAATACCAGCCGGCGCCATCGTCCACCAGCGCTCTTCTCCATGTGCGCCCGACCACTCACCGTTGACCTTGGAAATCTCCCAGTCGTTCTGTAAGCTCTGGCTGCCAAGGGCAAATGTGAACTGTGGGCCCCGGAACGGCTGCAGATCGTCGTCCGTGGCCTCGATGATGTAGCTCCCGGGCGCGCTGAGCGGGTAGCAGGAGAACAGGCCCGTGTACTCCTTGGCCAGCCGCGGGGGGTTGTCGTTCACGTCCGTCAGGGCCAGGTGGAAGCCCGCCGTGGTGCTCAGGGAGGACCCGCCTGGGGAACGGAGCGGCGGACACGGAACGTCAGCTCTCCCACATCCTCTCAACAAGAAAGAATACTTATTCCCCCTTTTGTAAAAAAAATTACAATTCAAGTAGTTGGGTATGTTGAGGTTGCAGAAGGACAGCAAACGCTTAGAATCAGACCAGGTGAAAAGCCTTCGAGATAATAGTAAGATTGATGTGCCAGTGTCTTACAGACAGCACTTCAGCGCGGCTCTGGTTTGCATGTACACGGAGAAGGCTGAGGCCCAAAGAATGTGTGTGACCGGCCCAAGGTCATACGGCAACAGCCTGACCCTGCTTCCAGGAGAACCCCACGCGGGCGGGCAGTTGGGCGGGCACACAGGGACCTCCCTCGAGCTGTGCCCCTTCAGGGAGCACCCAGGAGCCCTGGCAGTCTGTAGGCAACCCCGCAGATGCTCAGCGCAGGCGGTTCTCATCTGAAACAAAACCAGGAGGTAGTTCCCTCCACTTTTAAAATTTTTTTTTTTTTATTGATTCAGAGAGGATGGGTTAGAGAGAGAGAGAAACATCAATGATGAGAGAGAGTCATTGACTGGCTGCCTCCTGCATGCCCCCCCCTCCACTGGGGGTCGAACCCACAACCTGGGCATGTGCCCTTCAGTCCTGAGGCTGACGCTCTATCCACTGAGCCACACCAGCTAGGGCTCCCTTCACTTTTGTACCCTTCTTGCTCTTCCACTCTACGATATTCAGACAATCTGACCCGCTCACTTTCCCTCCCTCCTACTTCTATTGGTGCATCTTGTTTACTTCTTGTTATTAATTATTATTATTATTATTTTTGCTCACCTACTTCAGTTGCCACCACTTGTACGCGATACACACTCTCAGCCTCCCTGTCCAGCGGGGCCGCACTGAAGATATCGCCAGTGGCAGGGTCAATCCTGAGCCAGCCCCTCGTGTTGCCTCTCAGGGAATAACTTCACGAAGGGAAAAGAGCAGAGGAAACCCGGGTTACTTTATGTGGAAACAGGAGTGTAGTCTATGCATCGCTGTGCTGTTATGTCAACATTATCCCTGGCATATTATTTATGGCATATTTCAAAGATCATTATGTAATACTACTAATACTTTATTGGCATAGCTTCTACCGTGTTTCCCCCAAAATAAGACATCCTCCGAAAATAAGACCTACTTACAGGTTTCCTTCCGAGTGAAATATAAGGCATCCCTCGAAAATAAGGCCCCCCCTAGGCTTTGTCTCAGAATGCTATTGCTAAACATGAGAGATTTGAAAGAAATCTGATTCTGAAAGAAATGGAGTCACAAGAAATTCACCAGGAAATTCAGGAATTGGATTGTTTTGATGATGTTCCAGAAGATGATATGACATGATTGTCATTGAATAAATGAGTGAATTCTTGATACTGTAGGATTCACAGTTTGTCTGGTTTGTGTTGACAACTCCCATACTACCGGACCGTATACAGGTAATAAATTTCCTTTATTTTCATCTAACAATAAATGTGTACCGTATTCTTCTTTATGGAAAAATAAGACATCCCCTGTAAATAAGACCTAGCGCATCTTTGAGAGCAAAAATTAATATAAGACATGGTCTTATTTTCGGGGAAACAGGGTATCTTCACAACAGGGATTTGATCATCTTTACAAAGTGGTAGTTGTACTTGTTTCCTTAGAAAATGTATAGCTGCAAACTCCAGAGGGAACAAGTTGAACTTTTCTGGCAATCAAATAATTCTAATGGAAACAACCTGGGACCAGCTTTTAAAACGGATTAGCAAACCACCCTTCTAAGAAAAGCTGAGCACCCAGCCGTGGAGATGTTGTGCGAATGGGTGGATACTCGGAGGCCACTGGTGGCCCCGTGAACTGTCTCATTCAACAAACACCTAGTGAGTGTTTAGCAAATCTCAGGCAGACAGGAGGTTACAAAAATGGGCTCTCAGGCCAGGAGAGGAGACAGACACGGGGACAAATAACTCCAATGGAAAGCGGTAATGACAGTGAAAGGGGCCCTACGGAGCCCCAGAGAAGCTCATGGGAATCAGAGCAGCCTTTCTGAAGGAGATGCTAGCCGAGGCAAGAAAAGGGAGCTGCTTTAAGCAGAAGGGATTGCTGTGCTATGGCCTGAGGCCAAAGAATAGCTTGTCCGGGTAAAAACGGGAAGCAGTGGATGGGAAAGACGAAGCCAGAGAGCCTGGAGCGAGCCAGATCATGGGAAGCAGTGGTCAGCCCTGGAATGGAGTTCAGCAGGAAGGCAACCCAGTCATATTGGTGTTACCAGTGGGACTCATGGGTAGTAGGTGTGATAGATGAATTTGAGAGAGACAAGTCGGGAACCACAGGAAAAACAATTGGTACAGCCCTTTGTGGAGCAACACATCAGAGCCATAAGGCTGTTCATTTTTTTAGACCAAAGCATTTCACTTCTGGAAATTTTTCCTCAATAAAAAAACAACAACAATGTAATAGAAGTTATAAAATAATTACATGCATACACATATGCAAAACACCCTATATAATAAAACCCTAATATGCTAAGTGTCTGGTCATCCAGTCGGCCATTCAATTAAAGCTTAATAAAAGCTAATGATACGTTAAGGCTGCTCAACTGCTTGCTATGACCTGCACTGACCATCAGGGGGCAGATGCTCAATGCAGGAACCAAGGCCAAGTTCACCAAGTGCACTGGATATGGCTTCAAATCGCTGGCTGCTTCCTTAGGAGAGAGCCTTGGAGGAAGGCCAGGTCCTCTGCACCCCCGGTGCCCCTGACCCCAGCCCTTCTCCCCTCTCACTGGCCTTGGTCACAGCACAGCTAGGCCTGCCCGGCCCGGCTCTCTACCTTATGTCCAGACCTTCCGGATCCTTGGCAGTCACGTTGCCCACTTTGGTGCCTACGGCCACATCTTCGCTGGCTTTTGCCTGGAATATGTGCTGGGGAAACTGAGGTGCTTCGTTCACATCGGTCACAATAAGGGTGAAGGTGGCGAAGGAACTGGCATTGTACTGCACACCGGGCACCAGAGGCTCAGAGTTTTCCGCTTGGATCACGATGTTATGAATGGCTGTTGTTTCAAAGTCAAGAGGCTGTGTGTGTGGGGCAGGGGAAACACAGAGAAATTTAACTTGGGGATGACTAGTTCCCTAGAAGATTCATTCCCTATTCTCCTTTAAAAACGCTCACAGAGCAGCAAGTCACTGAGTCAGTGCCAGCAAACACCTACTTCTCACAATGATGATGGAGCCATTAAAAAGTCTGTGCTGGCCTTAACCAGTTTGGCTCAGTAGATAGAGCCTTGGCCTGCGGACTGAACGGTCCCAGGTTTGATTCTGGTCAAGGGCATGTACCTTGGTTGGGGGCACATCCCCAGTAGGGGGTGTGCAGGAGGCAGCTGATCAATGTTTCTTTCTCATCGATGTTTCTAACTCTCTCTCTCTCCATCTCCCTTCCTTTCTGTAAAAAAATCAATAAACTATATTTTTAAATAATTTTTTTAAAAAGTCTGTGCTGCAGGATTTATCAGAGTTTATAAGGTGCATGCATACTCTCCTAGAAGAGCCAATCAGTGCAGCACTCCCCAAAATTTATCTAACCCTGGGACAGTTCCTTCACTCCTTCAGTAGAAACCTATTGATTCTCTCAAGGGTGGGAAATGCTTAGAGATGTCCCCTCTGTATAAAATCTATATGGAGAACGATTTTAGAGGAACATCAGGACCCAAATCCCAAAGTAAAAGTCCTTAAACTCATGGAGAGTGGGAGAGGTTAGATGAGATGATCTGAAGATAGATGCTCTTGTTCCAGGTCATTCCAGACAGAGCCAGAAATGAAGACAAAAAAAAAAAAATCAAAAATTCAATTTGGATTTAGCGTGAGGAAGAATTTTAACAGGGCTACATAAAAAGACAGACAGAGTTGCTTCAAAAACAGTTCTCAACTCTGGAAGGTTTCGGGAATGGGCTTCAACAGCATGCGACGACCTAGCACAGGAAGGACTTAACTATCATTTAAGCAGTTGGTTCTATGGGGCTTTGAAGGTCTCCCTAAAGGCACAGAGTCCCCGATTCCATGAGGAGTCTCTGGCTGGCAGGTTAGAAGAAAAGATCTATAGTCTTAAGGGCTCATAGGACTCATCCAGTCTCACCCCCACATTTGCAAAGGGAGAAGTACAGCCCTAAGCGCACACCCTTCCCAGACTTATCAAGTAACAAGATAGAACACCTCCTTAAATTTGAATTTCTGATGAACAACCACATTTTTTTAGTATAAGTATGCCCCATTATTACATACACACACACTAAAGATTGTTTACCACGTGTTTTATGTATTTTACATGGCAATCCTCCTTCCCCCTACAAAGCTTACTTGGTCACCGAATGACAGACCCAGAACGAGGTCCCTGGCCTTCTGCCCTCTGGGAGAGCAGGAATGGCAGAGTACTCCAGAGTCCTTCCCGCCTGAGAGGTCCGTGCTGACCCATAACCTCTGCTTAGAGGTCCTTGCATAGCCATCAGGACATGAACCAAAGAAAAAAGACAAATTCCATCAAAGAGTCGCGTACCTTTTTAATTATGACGTATCCAGCGTTGTTTTGGGGGTCGGTGTCAATCCCCAGCCGCCCCTCGTCATCTCCCTGGGTAATCCGATACAGGATTTTAGAGCTCCCCGTGAACGGCTCATCCGCATCCTTGGCCTGGATGGTCAAGATGGTGGACCCAACGGCTGTGTCTTCGGCGAGAGACAGGTTTCCGTACTAAGAAGGAAACGGTGAGAGTGTGCATTGTCACCAGGAATAACCAGCTGTCACAGGGCTAGCTTGTCTCTTTAGCTTCAGGATGTTCACAAATCACAGTTGGCATCAATACTCACCACGCATGTTTTTCCTGTGGCTAACTATGTTGCCGTTGATTTTGACATCAATCATACCCATAGACTGGTATTCATTAATTCCTCAGAGAGCTACTGGTAGGATTCTCAAACAGAGTCCCGCTGCCACATCCAATGCATTTACTAACCTTACAGATTATATTAGTGAGGACAAAAATAAATACCATATATTGAGTACGTATCATGTGGCAGGCACCTCTACGTACATTACTTTAATTAGTCCACAATCAACCAAGGAGTAGTGGTTAAGAGTTTGAACCTCGGAGTCAAACAGCATAAATCCTAGGCTTGCTTCTTACTAGCATGGTGACTTGAAGCAAGTTATCTAACGTATTTAAGCCTCGGTTTCACCATCTGTCTAATGGAAATAATAATCACAGGACTGCGTCATGTTTGCTGTGAAGATTAAGAGATAATGCTTGGGAAGTCCCTGGCGCCTGGCACATAGTTGCTCAATAAAGATAAGCAGCAAGCCCTACGGGGTAGCTGTCTCATCATCTCCATTCCACAGGAGAGCAAAGGATTGGAGAGGTATAACTCACCTAAGACCACAGAGAACTGGGTTTCATACCCATGCTGTCTAACTTAAAACTTGTGCTCGTAACCACTGGCCTAGACCCATGGTCGGCAAACTGCGGCTCGCAAGCCGCATATGGCTCTTTGGCCCCTTGAGTGTGGCTCTTCCACAAAATACCATGGCCTGGGAGAGTCTATTTTGAAGAAGTGGCATAAGAAGAAGTTTAAGTTTAAAAAATGTTGGCTCTCCAAAGACATTTCAATCGCTGTACTGTTGGTGTTTGGCTCTGTTGACTAATGAGTTTGCCGACCACTGGCCTAGGCTATCTCCTGCTCCTCCGCTGAAAACCCCCCAGAGATGATCTTGATCTTAACTAGGGAGAAGCCCAGAGCAGTGACGGCAGCAGACTCATTCTCTAAAGCCCATTTTGCCCTTCCAAGCCCTGACACTCCCAGAGCTGGATCTCACCTGCAGTCTGAAACCACTGCCTGGATGTAACACAGGCTGGGAGCATGGAGCCCGAGAGGCAAAGGGTTCCAGCTCCGGCTTGCTTTGTCTCAGCGCCCGTGACACAGGTTACGTTCAGTCACACCTCCTACCACCCCGAACTCTCGCATAAATCAACCCCCCCTTCTTTGCCACCGCCTTGTCCCTATGTTGACGTATGAACATTTCGATATGTGGACAGGGTTCTGGGCTATCTCACAATAGACTTCAAACAAACGAATAAGATGGGCTTCTCTCTGCTCCAGAATAAGTACACAGAGACCTCCCCTCTGAGGGAACAGTGACAGAACTCCCTTCGAGTGTAAAGCCCACATCGACAACACGTCAACGTTCTTTTTGATGTCCTTTACTGGATCTTCTTACTCCTGCTTTTTCTGCCCAGTGCTGCTAATTCCTGCAAATATTTTGAGCCCATTTTTCCGTGGCTTACGCCAGAGATTCGTTTTCTTCCTTCTCCTTTCCTCTTATCCAAATACTGCAAAATGAGTTTAAGTCGCCGATGTTCCAAATACTAAACTTTTTACTAAAAATGCTTGTTTGAAACCTAGCAGTAATCCATTTATCATCCTGCTGCACACACATATATATTATAATGATCAACTGCCGTAGCCACCAACTCCTTCCAATGTGACAGAGGTTGTGGCTGCAGCCCTTGGGAGTAAAGGAGCCATCGCAGAAGTTTGTAAACAGACGTTCCCAGATACTATCCCAGTGACTGCGCCCCAAGAACTCCACTGGAGAAGCTGCCTGGGTTGTCACAAACGCAGTGACAGAAGGCCTGTGGAGTGCAGCCATGCCCCTGCCCACTGCCTGTGCCCTGGTTCCCGACGTAGGCATCACGTGATGTGAACAAAGTAAAGACAAGACAGCAGGGGACGGCTACTCACATCTGATTTTTCAAAAATGGGGATCTGATCGTTGATGTCAATCACGTTGATTTGCACTTGACAGTGGGTCTGGAAGTCTGAAAGTGAAAGTCATGTCACAAACACGTCACTAACCTCAGAAACCGGCAAGAAAAACACTGGCAAGCGAAGTGGCTGCCGGGGTCACAACGTCGCTGTTGACATATGATTTGCATGGAAACGGGACCCTCAGCTCCCCACCCGCACCCACAAGCTGATCCCGGGAGGCGGAAGGAAGGCCTGCAAGGAGTTTGCCTGGGCTTCCCACTTCCCTCCCCCTGTCCCTTCCAAGGTAAGTTCCTGTTCTGTGAAGCGGCCTCTTTTTCTGAACTACTAACAGTGATGTGGCCTTCGTGCAAACCTCTCCTTCCAGAAAACCTTCCCCGAGCATCCCAGCCGGCTCTGTCCTTCCCTGACCAGCCCAGCACTTACTGACCCACATCCCCTCTGCTCCCATGGTGGGAAGGAAGGGCCAGGTGCCTGCTCCCTGCCCTCCAAGTGAGGGAGGAAGTGGTATAATTAGTCCCCTTCCAATGGCTGACCGCCCAGCTTGCTGGAGGCAAGACAGGGGCAGAAGCGGCTCACGGAACCCTGGGAAATGGCACAGGCTTTGAGGGAGAGGCTTGACAAGTCAGAGACCGAGTCCGAGCCAGCGGCTGCAACCTGGGTCTGAGATGAGCATGGCGTGTGCGTGGGGATGGAGTGCCCAGGGAAATCCTATATAATAAAAGGCTAATATGCAAATCGACTGAACAATGGAAGGATGGGTCGATATGATGCGCACTGAGCACCAGGGGGCAGATGCTCAATGCAGGAGCTGCCCCCTGGTGCTCAGTGCACTCCCACAGGGAGTTCAGGCTTACAGCTGGCGAGTGCAGCGGCAGCATGGTGGCGGGAGCCTCTTCCAACTCCGTGGCAGCACTAAGGACATCCCCCAAGGGCTTCTGAACTGCCTGAGGGTGGAGGTTTGGCTGAGGGACACCCGCCCCCCTGAGTGCACGGATTTTGTGCCCCCGGCCTCTAGTATTGAGAATAAGAAAAAACACGACAGGTTCTTTGTCGGAACCACCATCATTCTAACAGTCATGATGTTCCGTATCATAGAAATATTAAGAACCTGGGCTCAAATTCTGGCTCTGCCACTTATCAGAGGTGTGAGAGCTTGGTTGTGCCACTCAAGGTCTCTGCGCCTCAGTCATTTTTTGTATAAAATCTAGAGCACAAAAGAACTGAGGTCTCGACATCATACAAGATTGTTAGCACCCTCTAGGTACCAGGCACGAGGGCTTTACCTGCATTATCCCTTTTATCTTCCTACTCACTTCATGCGGTAGGTACTGCTACCATTCATTTGATTCACAAATAAGCAAGCCACGGGATAGGGAAGTTAGGTAACCTGGCTAAGGTCACACAGCGAACTCGTGGTCCAGCCAGAATTTAAACCCATGTGCTCCCTGTGTCCACTACACCTACTCCCCACCCTCCTCCCTGCTCAGTCTCGGAGGCCCACCTTATGACCTGCATCAGGGGGCATTCTGGCCCTTTGGGTACCAGTTGGGTTCTGCCATTGGGATCCCTGGCAGGAAGTGGGAGGAAGGGCAGAAGGCGAAAGGTTTGCTGGAGTTCTCAGGCCCGGGGCTTGCCACTTCCGGGAATGGTCCCTTCCCTCCACCCTTCACCCCTTCACCCACTGTGCGTCACACTGCTGGCTGGTTTCCTCCAGCTTACCCACAACCTTTACAAACAATCCTTTCCTTAGACTCTTTTTTGGTCACTCCTTTTGAGGGGGCCCCGCTACTTCCTGCTGGGATCCTTACGAATATACTCAGGCAGTCTTACTCCAGAGCTCCTGCCCAATGCCCTGGGCATGTCCTCTAATCAGAACTGAAGTCTGAATAAGTGAGTGTTGGCTGAAGCGGGGGCTAGTTCCCAGACCATTCGTAGACAATGTGCCTTGCCAACCTCCAACAACAGGGGCATGAAAGGATGATGGCCCCGCTGCACACTCTGTAATCCATCGCCACATTCGCCACGAGGCCTTGCTTCCCAAGCTGCCCCCAGCCAGCGACGGAAAAAGGCTGGCATGCTCAGGTAGGCCCTTTCTTAAAGAGCACGGACTCCGTCAGCGTCCAATTTTGGGCTCCCTGATGACCTTGCCAAACTTTTCTTTGAGCGCTCGGTGGTCTCCAACACTCCCACCAGCCCTCCTTCCCCATCTCCTTCCCTCAGGGCCAGGCTTATAGTGCAGTCTGATGGTTCTCCCAGCCTTCTCTGTATCTCTCCCCACTTTTTTTCTCAGAGGCATTTCTCCTAGCAGAATTCTCGTACATGTAATCGCCTCTTGGCATCTGCTTTTTGGAGGACTGGGATCAATTCAACAATGCTGCCTGATCCGTCACTTTGGACCAGGTGCCTCTGTGTTGCCCGTGTTTCACATCCTTCTTTAATGCGCCCGCCCAGGCATTACAGCAGCCTAACCAGTCACAATAAGAGGGAAACAAGCATTTTCACTCCTGACAGCGAGTGTGACCCTGACCTTTGTCCGACACCTCCACGGTCAAGAGGTACTGAGGTGCGTCTTGCTTCTTCAAGGACTGGATGGCCAACTGGAACACCCCCGAGTAGGACTGGACGAGGAAGAGCCCATCTTTGGGAAACATGGGGGTCTGATCCACAATTTTGTAATGGAGAACACTGTTGACAGTGTTCTCTTCATCCATGTCGTGGGCGGCCAGCGTGCCAATACTGTTCCCTGTGAAGAAGGAAAGAAGAAAATTCACCCACCACAGACTCCATTCCACCTGTGTTAAATGGTCCCACCGGAGAAGCAGGTCCCTGGAACGCTCGGTAAAGAACTTGGAACCACCGGCTAATGTTCTTAGGTTTCTTTTGGTTACCCCTAACCCTCTCCATCGTGCAGTGTGCTGAGAAGTGTGTTAGTCTGATAGCATCGCCATCACAAAGTGCCACAGACTGGGCAGCTTTAACAACCGAAAGGTATCTTCCCACCGTTTCTGGATCTCACAGAGGTCTGAGATCAAGGTGTCAGAAAGGCTGGTTTCTCCCGAGTCCTCACTCGTTGGCTTGTACATAGCTGTCATCTCCATGTGTCCTCACATGGTCATGCCTCTCTGTACATGTCTGTGCCCAGATTTTCTCTTCTTGGAAGTACAGCCCATCAGTGATGGATTCAGAATGTTGTGCTGAGTCTAGTCTACACGCTTTGGGTAAAAGCGGCACAAAGCAATGTCCCTGTCCTTTGTGGGGCTATGGTCTAGCTCAGTGGTCGGCAAACTGCAGCTCGCGAGCCACATGCGGCTCTTTGGCCCCTTGAGTGTGGCTCTTCCACAAAATACCACGGCCTGGGCGAGTCTATTTTGAAGAAGTGGCATTAGAAGAAGTCTAAGTTTAAAAAATGTGGCTCTCCAAAGACATTTCAATCATTGTCCTGTTGGTATTTGGCTCTGTGGACTAATGAGTTTGCCAACCACTGGGCTAGCTCAATAATATACTAACTTCTTCCTTAGTATATCTATATTCTCCTGTTTGGTGTCTTACATCAGCCAGAATCTTGTGGGACTCATGTCCCCAAGGATTAGCAATGCCAACATGGATTCATATTGGATTAAGACCCACACTGAAGACATTGTAAACCCTTTCTCTAAACAATAGTCAGCTTTTGAGATAGTGGGCATTAGGACTTTACCGTATGAATAGGAGGGGGAGAGGATAATCACAATTCAGCCCATAACAAACAGTGTCCCATAAAAATTCAGAATCACTCCAAACCTCGTTGTGACCTTATTTGGAAATAGGGGCCATGCAGACGTAACTAGTTAAGGGTCTTGTGATAAAATTTACCCTGGATGTAGAGTGGGTCCCAAATCTAGCGATCAGTGTTTTCCTAAGAAGAGAAGATACAAAGTCACACACACGGAGGTGCAGGCCATGTGAAGTAGGAGGCACCGACGAGGGTGGTGCTACCACAGGCAGCCAGGGCACGCCGAGAGCCACCAGGAGCCGGAACAGGCGGGGGAAACGCTCCCCTAGCAGGCGCCTGGATCTGAGACTTCTAGCCACTGTGAAAGAATACATCCCTGGTGTCCTAAGCTCCCACCTTCATGGCACTCTGTCACAACGACCCTCTGATACTCATATGCAAGGCAAACGTTCTCACTAAAGAAAGCTGAGCCAGCAGCCGGTCCCCTCTCAGCCACGTTCTCCAGCAATTGCAGAGAGGGACTCTGCCCCAGAGATAACACGGGGCAAAGAGCAGGCGCACATGCTCCCTGCCTCGCTGCAGTTCCTGGGCCCCAGGATTTAGTTCTGTGAGTGTTTCAGTGCAGGGCGTTCCCTGAGTCAGAGGTGATGACGCAGGACTTCGCCCAGCTCAGGGGGAGGCAGGATAGATTCTGGATCACCTGGCTCCGTGACATGGGCATCTTGGGTTTCTCTACACGCAGCCGCAGTCCAAGGTGAGACTGAGACTTGATTGAATGCCACGTGTGGAGCTAGGTCTCTCCCCGCCTCCCATATCAGTTGGCATCTACTGACATATGGAAACGTGAAGGATGTTTATTATGGGGGAGGAGACGTCCCTGTAAGTCTCTAATGGAGCTGGACCCATGGAGCTGTGCCTCAGGGGCTGAGGAAGGAGGGCATCAAGAGTAGCAGAGCGGAGAAAAAGATGTATTTGGGCTCTGAACAGTTTGGCTCACTGGATAGAGCATCAGCTTATGAACTGAAAGGTCCCAGGTTCAATTCCGGTCAAGGGCATGTACCTTGGTTGCGGGCATATCCCCAGTAGGGGTTGTGCAAGAGGCAGCTGATCGATGACTCTCTCTCATCGATGTTTCTAACTCTCTATCTCTCTCCCTTCCTCTCTGTACAAAATAAATAAAATATATTTAAAAAAAAAAAAAAGAAAAGAAATAATTTAGTATTTTTTGAGCTAAACAGTAACCCTCCCTCTACCTCTCACTGGGCAGGGGAATGGCTTTACATCTCTTTTAGCCTACATAGGTAGAATCAATCAATCTGTGTTGATTTATAAGAATTCCTGGCCCACTTCTGACTCACAGAAACTGTGAAGTAGTAAATGTTTGTTGTTTTATGCTGCAATTTGTTATGCAGCAATAGACAACTAATAAACTCAAGGTTAGACCTTATGCAAAGAGACTTGAGGCATCATCTGGAAGGGTCTTCTGCCTTCATTCTGCATCACAGATCATCCCAGAGTTCCAAAAAGTGATTATTGGCTACTGACACATATTCCATTGTTACGCAACTGTCACTGTTAGAAGATTCTCCCTTATCCTACATAATAACAATGTAATATGCAAATGGTCATTACGCCGAAGCAAGTAACGACCAACCGAATCACAGGTCAGCAGGAGGATGGGGCAGTGAGCTACAACCGGGCAGCAGAGAGCTAAAGGAGGGGGCAGGTCAGTAAACTATTGGTGTGGGGGGAGTGGCAGTCAGAGAGCTACTCGAGGGTAGCAGCGAGCTACTGGTGCACGGATTGGTGCGCAGGGCTACTAGCAATTAATTAAAATCCTTTGAGTTGTCATTTAACAGTTCCTGTTGCAGCAGGAATTGGGATAAATGAAAAAGAGAGGACCTATGCAACACACACAGACAATACATAGCCTACCTATGACTCCTGACAGTGAGGAGAAAAAGGTAAGCACGGAGCAAGCAAGCCAGGCACGCAGTGCCTCCCAAGCCACCAGGACAGCAGCCACTATGTCAAAAGTACGTGGCAAGAAGAGAGAGAGGAAAAGAAAATGATGAAAAGGTCCCTAGACCTGTGAGGATCTGCCCAGAAGGGCCACAGAGACCTAGGCATTGCAGTCATAAGACACTGCGAGGAAACGACAGACAAAAACATTTCAAGAAAAGCCAGCCTGCTCAGCCGACGGACTCAACACCCAGAAGTGACAGACAAGGGTTTTCCTAAATCCAGGGAAGTCATAAAACTTCCAGAGATCATCATGTGCTCACGGTAGTTGTCCCTGGGAAAAGCTAAAGCTACCACGAGACACAGTAAAAAAAAAAAACAAAGCAAGTCAAGAACAAAGAGACAAAAATGGGTAGGACTTGAACTTCATCTACCAGCCTCCTGAGCTATTATTATCAGCTTCCTAGAAGAGGGAGCATCAAGGGTCAAAAGTCAATTTCCATTTGTTCTGCTTATTTATTGCAGAGCATCTGACCTTGGGTCTAGAGGCTGATTTAAATTATGTATCAAGCCGAAACCGGTTTGGTTCAGTGGAGAGAATGTCGGCCTGCCGACTGAAAGGTCCCACGTTTGATTCCAGACAAGGGCATGTATCTTGGTTGCGGGCACACCCCCAGTAAGGGGTGTACAAGAGGCAGTTCATCAATGTTTCTCTCTCATCGATGTTTCTAACGCTCTATCCCTCTCTCTTCCTCTCTGTAAAAAATCAATAAAATATATATTTAAATAAATTGTGTATCAAATTTGGTGCTGTTTTATCTGCTACTGACTTTGTTAGAGGGAAAATAAGGATCTATGTAAAAAACCTTGCAAATGAGATAATCGTATATATGCACACAGGATAATGGTGTGAGTGGATATGGTGTTAGTGCTGGTGGTAAGAATGGTGTAGTAGTATTAATTGTGGTAACAGTACTAGTAGGGGTAGTAATAGGGCTAATGGTGGTGGTGATGGCAGCCAAAAATGCTCCAATTGAAGATCACTACCCAGATAGTAACTGGGCCTGAAAACTATACTTGTGTGAGTCTCAAGGTGTATTCAAGCTCTACCCTGTGCTAGTGGATAACTGATCATCCATCAGGTTCACCTGCCCACCTTCTCCAAGACAGAGAGGATAAAGAGAGTACAGAGTTAACACAGGAAAGACAGTTACACAGCTTTGGACAGCTCTCCTTCCTTACCTAAATTTTCATTCTCCTGGACCTCAAATACCGGCATTGTAGGTGGACACGTAGGTGGGTTGTCATTAATGTCTTTCACTTTCACATGAATGTCCAGTGGCAATGCAAGTGGTTTTCCAAGTTCATCCTTGGCAACCGCGAAGAAAACGTACTGCAACAGGAAGCTCAGCATTAAGACATGACCCATCATTGCCTTTAAAAAGGCAGAGAAAAATGTTCCAATTCTATTTCGTTGAACCCCTTATTTTCAGTTTACTTAGAATTGGGACATGAGGGAAAACAAAAACAAAAAACAGATCAGACTTGTGGGGATAGTATCATGTCTTGAAATCAATCATCTATGACTTGGGGTTTTAGTGAATGGTTTGAAGTAAAATCTTTTCTGCTCTCGGATCTCAGTTGAGCACAGCACTTGGTCTTGTCACTTGTGAAACTCCTGCCCGTTTTGTTTTGTTTTTTATTAAATTATTATCTGTGTACATATTTTACCATTGCCCCCCTCCTCCCCGTTTTACTCACTGAATCCTTTTCTTCTCTGTCCAGGGGCTGAGTCACATAAATATCTCCCTCCTGGTCAATTGAAAATGGGAATATCGGCAGCTTCTCCTTTGGGACTAAGGAATAGTGAGCCCCTGGCTCATTCCACCGCACCTGGAGGGTCAAAGTGCATACCGAATTGTGAGGAAGGCACTGGATTTCTTTTGACAGCCCCGAGAGCAAACAAGCATATGCATTCCTTTTAGCGTTTACAAATTCTCATGGGAATGGCCTAAACAACAGATAGAAAGGCTTTAGTAAGGGCTCCAAATCTGCAATTGTCGTGGAATTGAGTCCTAACATACTTTCTTCATTGGAAAAGCAGAAGAACTCTGGCTTTCATTCTTTTTTTTCCTTCCTGGTAGAGAAGTTCATTAATTCAACACTCAATACATAAAAATTCTTTGAAGCTACACAATATATATGGGATGGACCATCCCCAGGGCCTCCTAACAACAGTGTCATTTTAAAGCAGTCTTAGGGGAACCACAGGCTGGGACTCACTCATAACATGAATCCCTGTTATCCGCTTTCACAGACACGACCTCTAACTTAATCTCCACGAAAACCCAGAGAGGGGGTTATTATCCCCATTTTACTGTCGAGAGGTTGGGGCTCAGAACCGTTAAATGGCTTCTTCTATGGTCAGTCATTAACATGATGGGGCAAGGACGTGGTGTTGGTCATCTGCTTCCAAACCCAGTGCTCTTTCGTGAACCCACAGCTTTCACGTCAAGGAAACCCCTGGTTTTCCAGAAAAGATCAGATCTAAGCGGAGCTAGCAGGTCTTACAGGAGCTAAGGAAGAGGGGACTCAGAGTGAGAGTATCAGTCGCAGAGGTGGGAAGGGGAGCATGGGAATGAAGAGAGGAGATGGAGTTGGAGGAGGCTGGTCTCCAAAGGTAAAGAGGCTGCCTACTGAACTCTTGCTCAAGCCTGTCCATGTCCCTCATCTGTGATGGGATGAGTCTACTGGATAGAGACTTTCCCCACCAGAATAAGAAGCAGCTTTTCAAAATTCAAATCACATACTTGTACATGATGTGTGTGTCATACACAACCTAGTGCAGCCATATCCCAGACTACTGACAGGGAACAACACACATCAAATGGGGGAATCTTAGATGAAGTTCTCTTTTAAAGATATATAGATACAGCTACAGCTACAGCTACAGCTACAGCTACAGCTACAGATACAGATACAGATACAGATACAGATACAGATACAGATACAGATGATGGGAAATGATGGGTACAGATGATGGGAGATGGAGATAGATAGATAGATAGATAGATAGATAGATAGATAGATAGATAGATAGATAGATGAGAGCTAGAGATATGAATCCAGTTTGGTCAGAGTTTACCCATGATAGTAACCTCCAGAGACTTGGGACCAGAAACTTTGTCTGTTTAGTTTGCTTTATAGTTATGCTACGTTAAAAATGTACATAATAAATATATCAGTGAAGACCATGAGAGTGTGCTTGTACAAAGGGAGAACATGTATTTAATGGGCTCTGGGCATTTCTTAGGCACTACCTGAGTGATTTTGATGGGGTGAGGATCAGTTGAGTTTTCTACAATCTCCACAGGTTGGGGTTTTTTCCAAATGTTCTCCTTCACTGTGATGTCCACGGATGTGCTGTCACTGAAGGAATTCTCAGTCTGGCCTCCCATGTCCTTCACTGAGACCACCAGGTTATAGAAAGCGTTCTTACTGGGGTCCAATTCCTTAGATCCTAAGGAAAGTGGGAGAGAACAGAAAGGGAAATGTGTGCCAAGCTGACACAGAGGTAGGCCCCTTCTTCGGAATCAGTCCTAGGAAGGCTTACCTGCAGGGGTGAGTGATATTTCCCCCGTTTTGTTGTTTATCTGAAAGAACATGACCTCGTTGACCTTAGGAAGCTGCATGACGATCTGGTAAAATAGCTGGCCGTTGGGAGTGTTTGGGTCATCCAGGTCCGTAGCATTGACATACATGAAAGGCTTTCCTAGTTCACAAAACACGCCCAGAAAGAGAAAAAGGTATTAGTGGAAACCCAAACCAATCAGAGCCACGTTGGCCTTCTAAGATGCAGAGAAAGATTGCATAATTCATATCAGCGGGAAAGTAAACTGTTGTTCTGCTTCCTTTCCCTAGGATGAGGTTTCTCAAAGTATGGTCCAGGGACCTCTAGGAGTCTCTAAGATTGTTTTTAGGGTCAATGGAATCAAAATTTATGCACATGTAAAAAAAAAAAAAAAAGATCCACTCAAAGCACAAGTTAATTTCATGCATGTTAGTGTAAAGGAGTACCCAAAGAAAGGGTATTAATATGGTTTCAGATTCCACATGGTAATCAGCTTTTAAGAAACCACCACTTGCCCTGACTGGTCTGGCTCAGTGGATAGAGCGTTGGCCTGCGGACTGAAGGGTCCTGGGTTCGATTCCAGTCAAGGACATTGTGCCTTGGTTGCGGGCACATCCCCAGTAGGGGGTGTGCAGGAGGCAGCTGATTGGTGTTTCTCTTTTATCGATGCTTTTAGCTCTCTCTCCCTCTCCCTTGCTCTCTGTAAAAAATAAAATAAATTATATTTTGAAAAAAGAAAAAAACAAAACAAAATCACCACTTGTTGAGTTTAGGTATAGTATCAAAGAATATCCATAGTTATCTCAAAATGCCATTATGATATTCCTCCCTCTTCCAAGTACATATCTGTGTGAGGCAAGTTTTTCATCATAGGCTTCAACCAAAACGGCATATTGCAAAAGAATGAGCACAGCAACAGACATGAGGATCCAATTGTTTTCAATTAATTCAGACCCTAAAGAGTTTGCAAAGAATAAAACAGTGCCGTTCTTCTTGATACGTCTTCCTGTTCTTTTGAAAATATAGCTTTTATTAAAATGTTTATGATTTTAAATGAATTAATAAATGTTGACGTTTCTCCGTTTTAACTTCTAATATGATAAATATTGGCAGATATAACTAGTAATGTACTGGAGCCAGCTCGTAAGAGGTAATTGTTGAATTTCCAAAAGTTTCGTGAGCAAATTATTAACACCATTGATAAGTTAAAAAAAAAAAAAGGCCATGATAGGAATATTTTCCCCACATAAATAGATAAATGCTCTGAGGAGGGCTCCCCCCAAAGACAGTTAAACATTTACCAACACTCCTCTGTTGAGACCCACAGGTTGAGAACCACTAGCGGGGTCGCCTAAGACCATCGGAAAACGCAGATATTTACATTACGATTCATTAACAGTAGCAACATTACAGTTATGAAGTAGCAACAAAAATAATTTTATGGTTGGGGTCACCACAACATGAGGAGCTGTATGTATTAAAGGGTCGCAGCATTAGGAAGGTTGAGAACCACTGCCCGACCAGTGGTCGGCAAACTGTGGCTCGCAAACCACATTCTGGCTCGTTGGCCCCTTGAGTGTGGCTCTTCCACAAAATACCACGGCCTGGGCGAGTCTATCTTGAAGAAGTGGCGTTAGAAGAAGTGTAAGTTGAAAAAAAAAATTGGCTCTCCAAAGAAATGTCCATTGTTGTACTGTTGCTATTTGGCTCTGTGGACTAATGAGTTTGCCGACCGCGGCCCTAGAGCAATAGGGATGATAAAACAACTCCCGGAGGATTGCTGTGAGATTGAAATAAGATAGGAAATGTTGCCAAACCGGTTTGGCTCAGTGGACAGAGCATCGGTCTGCAGACTGAAGGGTCCCAGGCTTGATTCCGGTCAAGGGCATGTACCTTGGTTGCGGGCACATCCCCGGTGGGGGAGGTGCAAGAAGCAGCTGGTCAATGTTTCTTTCTCATCGATGTTTCTGACCTCTCCTTTCCTTTCCTCTCCTTTCCTCTCAGTAAAAAATCAGTAAGATATATTTAAAAAAAAAAAAAAAAAAAAAAAAAAAAGATAGGAAAAGCTCAATGAGTGACAACAGCTGTTAGCCACAGAAATCGGTCCCTTCTGCCTGGCACCGTCCTGCTTTCCGGAAATACCTCCAGACTCCATTACCTGGGCGAGAATTCTGCCGCACCGAGCCTTTGTAATTGGACTGGAGAAACGTGGGTCGGTTGTCGTTGATGTCCTTCACTTCGACTATGATGGGGACCGGACCCTCCACTGTATTTCCGTGAGCATCCAAGGCTGAGACCTGAGGGAGAAAGAGGAGGGAAACCGCCGGGGTGAATCTGGGCTTCCTCTCACTCCACGGAAGTCACTGGAGCGAAATCGGAGTTCCAAGAACCGATGCCCGGTGACAGCAGTGGAGAAAGGTGCCCCTAAGAGCCCAGATCGGGAGCTGCTGGAACAGGGGCCTATCAGGTGAGCCTGGGTGATCAGGGCTGTTTTCCAGGGCTGGGATATGCTGTGCGCCAGACATGCTTCTTTTCTAAGTAGCTGGAGTCAGTGAAATCAGAGCCCCTTGCCCCCGAGGCTATGGACGCGGCACGATGGGCTCCTACAGAGGCCTTTTAATGGTCAGCCTGCCCACCCAATAGTAGAAGTTACTAAACAGAAAGCTTTCAGCTTGCTCACCTCCCCCCACCCCCCACCCCCCACATCAGCTCTCTATCGTGCCTGCATATTCAGATACCACACACAAAAACTGACCATCGGTCATTTCTGCTTCTTGCAAGATCCAAAGAAGCTCCATCCCAGCACGGATGCTGCCTCCTTTGTGGATGCAGAGCCCACTCAACAGACACAGGCAGGCGCCCGTGAAAGTCATAGACGTGTTGGCTTGGGTTTGAGCCAGGTGGCGGAGCATGCCACACAATGCTGTCTGAGGGCCTTGGCCATGTACAGGGGGCTGCTGTGGTCAAGCAACCCAAGGAAGAGGGGGCCTCCACCATACCCCTCTGTAAGAGGGTAATAAAAACGGACAAACAAGGTTCACCGAGTGTACCATTAACGCCAGGAGAGCCCTAGGAGGAGTCTAGGCAAGGGGTGGTCCTCCCCAGACAAAGGTGCTCAGGAAGGTTGGAGTGAGGTGGCTTTTTCTGGTCTCAACTCACCTGGAGCTTGTGAACAGCCCTCGCCTCCCTGTCCAGAGCTCTGTTGTGGTACAGAAGCCCATCGGGTTGTATCTCAAATATTCCATCTGTCTCCCCGGTGAGTTTGAAAGTCATAGCAGGAGGACTGGCCTTAAACTGGGGGAAAAGCAGAAGTCCGGTAAGGTTGTAAGAAAAGCAGGGCGGTAGATTCTGTAGAAAGTCATCAACTTCGGGTTATGTTTTCATTTGTACAATCGCTGAGTTTTTAAGAAGTGCTGAGTTTCTAAACTGCTGCATCCTAAAAGTTTGCTTGAACATTAACTAGTATTCAAAATACATTTCCTTCAAGAAACAGTATACAATATACTTTCACATGTGGACAAAAGTCAACTGATGCTTTGAATGGTAATTGGAGTTAGATGAGATTTTTCTGAGAATATCTGAAAACTATAACATTACTAACTTCTAAAAAAATATTTAAAAGAGTAGCTTTATTGCTAAGATTTTTAAAAACATACAAGGGTAAGCCCTCACAGCCATCCTGGCTGCTGCCTTGGCCTTCGCAGCTCCGGCTTCGTCCTTCTGGAAGGTCATCCCTCTGTTCAGCTGATTTGCATATCACACTTTCATTATTATAAATATGTACCTACCAAGAGAACTGATATCTGGGCTTACTCAGAAGTTTTTTTCCTTCCTTCCTTTCTCTCTTTCCCTTCCTTCCTTCCTTCCTTCCTTCCTTCCTTCCTTCCTTCCTTCCTTCCTTCTTTCCTTCCTTCCTTCCTTCCTTCCTTCCTTCCTTTCTTTTTTCTTTCTCTCTCTTTCTTTTTTTCTTCCTTCCTTCCTTCCTTGTTTTTTTTGTTTGTTTGTTTGTTTTTACCTAACTCAGAACTTACTCACTGCAAACAATTTTGGGTAGTTTTCCAAAAGTAATCAACAGTAAAAATACATCAAAGGCCTAAATGTAAATACTAAAACTATAAAACCTGAGAAGAATACACAAACATAATGTTCAGGAGTCTGGATGAGAGAAAGCAATGGGGTAAAGCAGAAGTCCGGTGAGGTTGTAAGAAAAGCAGGGCGGTTCCTTAGATATGACATCAAAAGCACAAACAGCAGCCCTGGCCAGGGTGGCTCAGTTGGTTGGGGGTCAGTTCCTGGTGAGGGCACATGTACAGTTTGTGGATTGAATCCCCAGTTGGGATGCGTGTTGAAAGGCAACCAATCAATGTTTCTCTCTCATTCATGTTTCTCTCTCCCTCTCCCTTCTTTTCTCTCTAAAATCAATAAAAACGTATCTTTGGGTAAGGATTTTTTTTTAAAGCACAAACAGCAAAAGAAAAAATTGAGCTTGAATCAAAATTAAAGGCTTTTGTGTTTATATTACATTATAAAGAAAGTGAAAAGATAATCTATAGGCTGTAAGAAAATATTTGCAAATCAGATATCTGATAAGGAATTTGTATACAGAATATATAAAGAGCTCTTACACCACTGAAAAGACAAAAAAAAAACACACACACACACAAAAACCCTCTATTAAAAAATAGGAAAAGTCCAGAGTTGGTTTGGCTCAGTGGATAGTGTTGGCCTGTGGACTGAAGGACCCCAGGTTTGATGCTGGCCAAGGGCACATGCCTGGGTTGTGGACTCAATCCCCAGTAGGAGGTGTGCATGGGGCAGCTGATCAATGATTCTCTCATTAATTGATATATCTCGCTCTCCCTCTTGCTTCCTCTCCAAAATCAATAAAGAAATAATTTATTTTTAAAAACAGGAAAAGGTTTTGAATAAACATTTCTCTAGAGAAGATATACAAATACCCAATAGGCACATGGAAAGATACTCAACATTATTAGTCATTAGGGAAATGCAAACCCAAATCACAAAGAAATACCACTTCACCCCTATTAGATAGCTATAATACAAAGCATAACAAGTGCTAGCGAGGAATTAGGGAAAGCAGAGCCCTTATGCAATGCTAATGGGGACATAAAATATGAGTGGAGAATGAGCAACAGTTTGGCAGCTTCTCAAAAAGTTAAACTATGACTTAGCAATTTCACTCCTATGTACATATCCAGGAGAACTGAAAACATATATCCTCTCAAAAAAAAAGTTGTACGTGAATGTCCTTATTAGCAGAAGTAACCACACACTCAGAAATAGGTTTTGTTTGGCTTACACGATAGTCGGAAACTGACCATCGTCCTCACCAGCAGGAAGCTGTGGACAAGGAACCCGGAAGGCTGGTCAACCTTGAAGCTCTGAAAGGTCAGAGCCAAGCACTCCCTGTCTCATTGAGACAATGATAAGGGAAGCAAGCTCCACCTTTTGGACTTACGTAAACTCTTGCTGATTGGCTAACATAAAAATATTCTTGGGTGAGGATTTTAAAAAATAATAATAATTAAAAAGCAAAAAGCAAAAACTAGGTATAGGGGGAAAAAACTTAGGGCAAATGTGAAATTAAAAGGCGTCTGAGACTCATTTCATTGGGTGGGGCTCTAGGCGGGTGAGGGGACTGGAGGACTGAGAGGGCATCAGAGGGGAATTCAGGTGCTGGGTATCACGGGATTTTAAGATTCAGGCCAATTGCTTTTGGGAGAAAACCTAAGAGCCTTAGGAGTCAGGGCCCTAGCTGTCTCTGCAGCCCCCTCTCCCGATTCTTCTCCTTGCGCTCTGCTCCCATCGCACTGGCCTTCTGCCCTCTCCCAGCCCGGGGCGGGTGAACATGCTGGGCCTTTGCTGGGACACCCTCAGTCTCCCTCCTCTCCGAGTGAATTCCTAGCAGCCATTAGCTTCCAAGCATTCACTCCTCCCTCCCCTGCCCAATGTCCCCAACTGGAGAGGTCAGACCTCTCTAACACCCTGCAGGCCAGGGCAGGCAGAGACACACGGGGCACCTGCCTGCCATGCTCTGGGCGCACTGCACAATCTGCACTGACACCAAAGGAGAGGGGGCAGGCGGCAGCTCCCAGCCTCTCCTCTGCGGGCAGAACCCTTCAACCATCCATGGAATGCACCTGCCTTAGGGAGGCAGCTAAGCAACCGCCCAGGCACAGGGTTTGGGGTCATGGGCATCCCCAGAGGCTTATGGAAACATCCAATAAGCAGCCCAGGCCAAGCAGGCTGCCCAGGGGATTTCCGGTAAATGCCATAGCGTGTTTCTCTCCTCCATTACATTTCCAGGATTATTCCAGAGCTCTTTATCGCTGAAGCCTCTCACGCCCACCTGTAGGCCACCCATTAATCTACTGCTTTTCTCGGTCACCTGCCTACAGGACAGGACTGCCGCCCAGGGTGCTTTGGTCACCCACAGGCCAGGGCCCCGCGGGGCTCAGAGCTGGTGGGAACAAAAGCAGGCCTTTGGCCAGACGTATGCTCCAGAGAACCCCCCCTTTCAAACGCCTCAGGTAGCGAGCGCACTGAACAGCCAGCCTGATGGTCAGATGGTCATCCCGCTCCCGAAACTCTTCCCACGCTCAGTGGGGAGAGTTTGGGGCGGGGGGCAGCCTACAGGCACCCAGACCCCTGGTCCCAGAGGGTAGGACTCACCCCAGATACAATGGAGGAGGCCCACATGGGGATGTCAGACCACCGGCTCTCTGCTTAAGTCAGCTTCTGAGCTCTCTCGTGATCAGGAGAGCTGCGGAGCCTCTCTGTTCTATTCCCCACTGCAGGAGGAATAAGAGTCTACTGTCGAGACAACAGCGATCAAAAGTGGTCGTTACCTGGAATATGATCTGGCTCGGTGCTTGGCCTTCGAAAATGGAGAAGGTCATGGGCTTCAGGGGGCCGCTGAACTTCCCCTCCAGGCCATGTCCCATTGTCTGTCAGAAAAAGAAAGGTTAGCGTCACCATCCGTTGTGAACAGATCACGTGCTAATTCCAATACTGACCTAGGAGATGTAACCCCTTTTTAAAAATACTATATATTTTATTGATTTTTTTACCGAGAGGAAGAGAGAGGGATAGAGAGTTAGAAACATCGATGAGAGAGAATCATCGATCAGCTGCCTCCAGCACACGTCCTACTGGGGATGTGCCCACAACCAAGGTACATGCCCTTGACCAGAATCGAACCTGGGACCTTTCAGTCCGCAGGCCAACGCTCTATCCACTGAGCCACACCAGTTTCGGCCATAACACCCTTTAACCTGACTTAAGACCACGTGAAAGTCAGCCACAATGTGCAGAAAGAGGACTGACCTGTGTTGAGGGTTTGCCATGCCAAGATGGACTGCTCTGAGCCTTGCCTTGCTTTTCTCCTCTGACCCTCCACCCTGCGGCTCTCCGGGGAGGCTGTTCGCTCCCAGTTCACAGATGAATCTGAGGGAAGTGAAGCTACTTCCTCAGAGTACGTGTTGGCACAGCACGGACATGCGGACCTAATTACTGGGATAGGACCTTCTCTCTCCCTTCCATCTCGTGTTGCTTCCTAACATAAGCCCGTGATTGTGAATGTCACGTGTGCCTGGGCCCTGGCACTGTGCTATGTGCTGCGGCTGCAGAGATGACTGAATCACAGTCTCTTCCTCATGGGTCAGTGTCCAGAAGAGTGCAGACACTGAACATGTAACATGCTATATAGTAATGATCATCGCTAACACTTACGGAGCACTTAGACGGTGCCAGCCACGATCTGAGGGCTTTACAAAGGCATGATCGCCGGGCATTGCCACAGCATTCTATAAGGCAAGTCCTCCCATTAGACCCACTTCTGAGGTTTCAACACACGTCTCTCACTCATGTTCCTATCACCGGTAAGCCAGAGTGCCGGGTTTGAACCTAGCTTTGACTTCACTACAACCCTCTGATAATATACACTGAGTGGCCAGATTCTTATGATCTCTGAACACATAAAAATCTGGCCACTCAGTGCATTTATATTTATATTTATATTTATATTTATATTTATATTTATATTTATATTTATATTTATATTTATATTTATATTTATATTTATATTTATATTTATATTTATATTTATATTTATATTTATATTTATATTAGAGGCTCAGTGCATGAATTCATGCATGAGTGGGGTCTGGCCAGGGGGAAGGGACATGGATGGTTGGCCGGCCTGCCTTCTGGTCAAACTCCTGGTCAAGGGGACAATTTATATATTAGCCTTTTATTATATAGGATAGACACTGAGTGGCCAGATTACTATTATTAGTGCTCAGAGATCATGATAACCTGGCCACTCAGTGTATTAGCGAAGGACATTTCAGAGGGTGGGAAGAGGACAGGTCACGTGGGGACGTTGGCCCCGGTCTTTCAAGAGCCCCAGCAACAAGCTTTGAGCGCCTGGGCTCTGAGGATGAACTGCAGGTTATCTGCTCCCCCATCCTGCAACACTGGGCGGAAGGCTATGCTGGTTTCAGAGGTTTAGTTCTGTTCCACTCGGTGACTATTTTGAACTGTGTGGGCTCTAGGCAGCTCTGTGGGTCTTGAAATTTGACGTGTTATTTTTGAGCCACAGAAAAAAGGAACCAAGAGCTGAGGTGAGGCCATCTAGAACAGTGGTTCTCAAGCTTTCAATGCCTCGATGCTTTAACACAGCTCCTCGTGTGGTGGTGGCCCCCAACCATAACGTTATTCTCGTTGCTACTTCATCACTGTCATTTTGCTCCTGTGATGAATCGTGATGTAAATATCTGTGCTTTCCAATGGCCTGAGGCTCTACAGCAGCGGTTCTCAACCTGTGGGTTGATCTGTCAGGTTCAGACGTGTTAGCAGGGTCGCCTAAGGTATTGTAGATTTTCTTGGCTCACTTAATCTTTTCCGTGTTCAGATCTAGAAGCTTCTTCTAGAGAAAGCAAAGGCTTCCCCTTAATCTAGCTTCATGATAAAATACTGGCAGGTGTGCCAAGACTGGTTTGGCTCAGTGGATAGAGCATCTGGCCTGCGGACTCAAGGGTCCAAGGTTCGATTCCAGTCAAGGGCATGTACGTTGGTTGCGGGCACATCCCAGGAAAGGGGTGTGCAGGAGGCAGCTGATGGATGATTCTCTCTCATCGATGTTTCTAACTCTCTATCCCTCTCTCTTCCTCTCTGTAAAAAAATTAAAAAATATATATTTAAAATACTGGCAGATGTAAGACATTTGTGAGTCTAATGAGTGAAACCAGGTCAAGGGTTGTATTTCTTCAGGTTCCAGCCAGCTCCAGCTCTAGCCTGTCTGTCAATACGTTTAGATCAACATGTGGCTACAGACAAATTTAACTCGAAAACCCCAAAATAGATATGGGAAGAAAAATACTGAGCAAGCAGGGTTGAAAATAAATAAAATGCTTTCCTGTATGTTTTAGTGGTTATTTTTCATGGTCAAGTAAAAAAAAAAAAATGTCATGATTAAGGGACTTATACTAAGACCTGTATCTGTGTGCTTTTAGCTATATATGGTGGTCTAAACCAGAGTAGATAGACTTGTTTTAAACCTTACCCTAGTGCTACTGGCTTTTAAGAGCTGAAGAGAAAGTATGGATACACGACTTGTAGCCATTTCATCAAAAATACCACTTTGAGGAAAACTGCGTCCTTGGTATGAGATTTAATTTTGATAAACTTTTTTTAAATATATATTTTATTAGATTTTTTACAGAGAGGAAGGGAGAGAGATAGAGAGTTAGAAACATTAATGAGAGAGAGTCATTGATCAGTTGCCTCCTACACCCCCCCCACCTGGGATGTGCCCGCAACCAAGGTACATGCCCTTGACCAGAATCGAACCCGGGACCCTTCAGTCCGCAGGCCGACACTCTAATCCACTGAGCCAAACCGGTTTCGGCTGATAAACTTTTTAAAAAAGTGATAACCATTGTTCCTCTGGTATGCAACAGAAGGGTGGCAGGAAATGTTTTGGTAAAGAAAGAAAAAGCATGCTCTTTTCTTACCCAATAAAGTGTGAGGAGACACAAGCAGTGCAGATGGTGTGCCATCACGGTTTTCCTTTATTCAATCTCCTGTGAATAAACCAGAGATCAAAGTGATTAGCTACCAGTCTGCTGAAATACATTTTTTTAAATGCACTCATTTTACTAATATGTCAATCACTTTGTCATCGTTAAGTATTGTAGATTTTCTTGGTTCACTTAATCTTTTCCGTATAATTTTAAGTTTTTATACATGGAACACTAGTACACTCAGCACAGAAAAAATGGTTATTAAAATTCCAAACCCCTTTAAAAATTTAGGCCCTGGAATTTTTTAATGCCTTACATTTGGATAGATTATAATTGAATTTTAAAAAGGTAAGAAGTACGCCCTGAGAATTAAAGAGAGCATTTATTAACCTCATCTATGTGGTAGATAATTTTTTGCTGGGTCATGAGGCAGCATTTTAAAAAAATGTTTTAATGTTGCCCTGGCCAGAGTTGCTCAATGGTTAGGGTGTGGGCCTCCACTCCAGAGGGCCACAGGTTTAATTTTGGGTCAAGGGCAGGTACCTGGGTTGCAGGTCCAATCCCCGCCTCTGGTTTGGGGCATGTGTGGGAGGCAACCAATCTATGTGTCTCTGTCACATCATGTCTACGTTTCTCTTTTATCTCTCTCTCTCTCCCTCTCTCCTTCCTACTCTCTCTTTTTAAAAAATGAAAAAAAAATATTCTCACTTCCCCGGTGAGGATGAAAACACATGTTTTAATGTTGACATTATTGTGAGCTCCCCCATTTCCCCTCTTTCTAATCTCCGCCTCCCCCTGCTCCCCTCTTTTGGCTTTCACCATCCTGTTTTCCATGTCCATGGTGTATATGTTCCTTAGCTAATCCCTCAACTTCTTCATCCAGCCGAGACCGGTTTGGCTCAGTGGATAGAGCGTTGGCTTACGGACTGAAGGGCCCCGGGTTCGATTCCGGTCAAGGGCATGTGCCTTAGTTGCGGGCACATCCCCAGTAGGGGATGTGCAAGAGGCAGCTGATCGTGATTCTCTCTCATCGATGTTTTTGACTCTCTATCCCTATCTCTTCCTCTCTGTAAAAAAAAAATCAATAAAATAGCCGAAACCGGTTTGGTTCAGTGGCTAGAGCGTCGATCTGTGGACTGAAAGGTCCCAGGTTCGATGCCGGTCAAGGGCATGTACCTTGGTTGTGGGCACATCCCTGGTAGGGGGCGCACAAGAGGCAGCTGATCGATGATTCTCTCTCATCGATGTTTCTAGCTCTCTATCCCTCTCCCTTCCTCTTTGTAAAAAATCAATAAAATATATATTTTTTAAATCAATAAAATATATTTTAAAAAAACACACACACACTCACACAAAAAAAAACTTCTTCATCCAGTCACCCCCCCTGCCCTTCCCCTCTGGCTCCCACCAGTCTGTTCCATGTGCCCAGGCTACTGGTCCCATTTTGTTCATCAGTTTATTTTGTTCGCTGGATTCCACATATTAGTGAGATCATATGGTACTTGTCTTTCTCTGACTGGCTTACCATAGAACTCTCCAGTTCCATCCACGTTGTCACAAAGGATAAGCATTCCTTCTTTTTTTTTTTTTTTTACAGCTGCAGAGTATTTCACTATATAAAACATACCACAGTCTTTTTTATCTACTGGTGGGCTATTTCCAGACCTCGGCTATCCTATAGGACAAAGAGCTAATATGGGAATTAGACTGGACAGCGGAACGACCTTCTGGAATGACCCAGGTCCCCGGGTCCACGGGTCCACGGGTCCACGGGTCCACGGGTCCACGGGGCAGCCGGGGCTGCGAGGGCCGAGCCCCTTACACGCATTTCGTGCATCCGGCCTCTTGTTGTAAATAAAGCTGCTATGAGCATAGCGGTGTGTGCATTCTTTCTGATCGACGTTTCAGTATTCTCAGGGTATATTGCCAGAATATACCTGTCAAAGGCTGTTCCATTTTAAAGTTTTGAGGAAACTAGAGGGTCCTTTACAAACAGAATAACAGTGGTGCAGAAGACGGACTCAATCAGACAGCCTGAACTGAACCCAGCTATCCCTATTGTTAGTTGTGTGGTCATGAATATTCAAGTTAATATCCCTGTGCTTCAGCAGTTTCCTCAAATGGAAAATGCATAGCAATTAATCAGTAATAAATGTGTGCTCTAGGAGTTTCTCATAGGAAAAATTAGGTAGGAATTGTTATTCTTCATAGTGTATGTGTGTGTGTGTATGTGTGTGTGTGTGTCTAAACTAATAAAAGAGAAACATGCAAATTAACTATTACTTCATGATGCCCACCAGCCAATCAGGAGTGAGCATGCAAATTAATCCAACAAAGATGGCGGCTCTGCCCCCCAGCCATTCCAGGCCTGGGCAGCAACATGCAGGCATGGAACAGTCGGGGAGGGCTGGGGGCAGAGGGAGCTACAGGAGCGAAGACAGAAGGTGGTGGCCAGAGCAAAGGCCTGGGACCTGGGTGCCAGAGGAAAACCGGTGCCAGCAGCCGGGGGAGGAAGTCCTATGGTACAAATCTTTATGCAATGGGCCTCTAATATGTATATAAAGAAATTGAGGTTCAAAGTTAAGCAATTCGCCTAATGAAGTGATCCTGCCAGGCTTACAACCAGTTCTGTCAGATCTCAAAGTCCAAGACCTCTTTGATGCTTTCTACTGTAATCTACATCACGTGATAGCTGCAGGGAAGTAGATATAGTCACAGAGAGGTAGAGATATGAAATGTGTATGTGCTATATAAATTAAGTAGCTTGCCCCAAGATTCCACAGCTATTTTAAGGAAGAGCCTGGATTAAAACCCGACTGAACAAATTCTTTGAATGTTGCAAAGTTAGCTTTTGCCTCAGAATTAATTTGGTTGATGTGTCCAAACATCATTGCAGAATTGGCTCGTTTTGTTAAACACAAAAGAGATATATCTCTACTGCTTTGGACTGCTTTTGTGGTCCAAATAATGTGACCCCAGTGAATAATGATCCCAGGTTCTAGCATATTGGATTATAAAATAAATACAAAAAAATAAAGTTGCTATTCTTAAGTCTAACTAGGTGGTGGTGGGGGGGGCGTTATATTAGCAAGATGAACATGATCAGCGGTCACCAATATTTGCTTAAGAAAGTAAAAATATAGCCCAGCTGCTGTGGCTCAGTGGTTGAGAGTTGACTCATGAACCAGGAGGACACGGTTCAATTCCAGGTTAGGACACATGCTCAGGTTGCAGGTTCAATCCCTAGTATGGGGCGTGCAGGAGGCAGCCGATCAATGATTCTCTATCATCGCTGATGTTTCTCTCTCTCTCTCCCTCTCCCTTCCTCTCTGAAATCAATTATATATATATATATATATATATATATATATATATATATATATATATATATATATATATGGAAAGTAAAAATATAGACAATAGTAACACATTTGTAGATCTTTCTCTTCAAACTCCTCCACACAAGATTTTCCCAATGCTGGTCTCCACTTACTGCAGCCTTATCTCCCACGCCCTCCCCACACCCAGGAAGCCTGCACCAGGTGGACTTTGCACCTTGAGCTCTCCTCTGCCCTGCTTGGCACTCGCCGTCCTCCCCACCCAGCACCAGCCCCGCCCGCAGTCCGCGGACCATTAATATTTGCTCCGTGGAGTTCCATTGAGAGGACCCGTCCTCACCTCTGCTTCTACTTCTCATATCTCATCATCAGCTCCAGAGCATTCGTGTATTTGAAAAGCATTGAATTGTTATAACAAGCTCCAATAATGCCCCAGATCCTGTGCTAAGAAGTAGGACCCCCAAAATAAGAGCATGGTGTCCGCCTTCGGGCCGCTGGCACGTAAATCCCACTTCCTTCATGAGCTCATCCCTGATTTATAAGCCAAAAGTATCTTCCCAAAGCCCCTCCTGCCCACATCTTTTTTTTTTTTTTAAATATATCTTAATTGATTTTTAACAGAGAGGAAGAGAGAGGGATAGATAGAGAGCTAGAAACATCAAGGAGAAACATTGACCAGCTGCCTCTTGCACAACTCCTACCAGGGATGTAGCCACAACCAAGGTACATGCCCTTGACCGGAATCGAACCTGGGACCTTTCAGTCTGCAGGCCGACGCTCTATCCACTGAGCCAAACCGGTTTTGGCCCACATCTTATTTTTCATGTGTATCTACACGTCTCTGTTATTTTCTCGAAGAGGAAATAAGACCCTCCAAGGCAAAGGCCTGACTTCAAAGATTATTTCTTAACCTCTTACAGCTCTTCACACTCCTTGCCTATAGTAAGCCCTCAGCAGATGCTGTTAAAGTCTGAAACATCTGTGATCGTATAACATGGATGTCCTATGAATGTGTCCCATCAATAAGAGGATAGATTTCAGACTATACATAAAGTGTTCAGGAAACTAACTTGAGATTTAAAGATGTATTTTGATACAGAGTAATGAGTTTTTACTTGTTGATGAAAGAATTGTCTTATTTTGTTTTTTAATCCTCACCCAAGGATATGTTTTTATTGATTTTTTCAGAGAGAGAGAGAGACATCCATATAAAAAAAAAAATCAATTAGTTGCCTCCTGCACCCAACTGGAGCGTACATACACTAACAAATATCTGTTTGGTAAATAGGTTAAGAACTGGATAATAGACACTGAGTGGCCAGATTATTGTGATCTCAGAGAGAGAGAGAGAGGCCAGATTATTATGTGTTCAGAGATCACAATAATCTGGCCACTCAGTGTCTATTATCCAGTTCTTAACCTATTTACCAAACATATATATATATATATATATATATATATATATATATATATATATATATATAGAGAGAGAGAGAGAGAGAGAGAGAGAGAGAGAGAGAGAGAGAGAGGACTGGTACATTAATTCATGCATGGGTAGGGTCTGGCCAGCTTGGCCAGGGGGAGGGGACGTGGGCAGTTGGCCAGCCTGCCTACTTGTCAAACTCCTGGTCGTGGGGACAATTTGCATATTAGTTTTTTATTATATAGGATATATACTGAGTGGCCAGATTATTATTC